ACCAGCCTGTCACTCTAGATCCCTTTGGCTTATGGAGTATGTGCACTCCCATAGGAACAGGAAGTCTGTCCAAAGCTGAAAACCACAACTGACTAATTTTGAATTTACTGCTTTATTGTTGGTTTCTGCCATAGTGGAAAAAATGACTTCAATTAGAAAATAAAACCCACAGCATTCAGCTTGAGACCAGGTGGGAAGTAGTGGACATTGGAGTTTTCCTAGAAAAAGAAAGGCAAGTATTAGGAAGCTCTCTAGGCTAGATGAGGTTTGCATTACTGTGGGTCAGAAACCAAAAATACTGCAATTGGTTCCACTGCTTACTTGCATGGGTGAAGCCATCTTAACAGGCAAAGAATGGAAACCCTGAAGATAGATGTGGTCCATAGACATCATTCATTTAATGAGCCCCACTCTATATGCCACACACCAGTGGATATGATGATGAATAAGCTCTTCTGAATCTCAGACTAGGTATTTACCAATGATAGACATGAAAATGCCAGAAAAGAAGAGCTGAATATAAAGAGGTTCCTCAGGAAGGTTGGGCAATCCTACTTCCGTAGTGATACTGCCTCGGAAACCCAAGGAGGGGTCGCTATGAGTCGGGGCCAACTCGATGGCACACAACAACAACAACAACAACAGCTTGTCTGGAGAAAGAAAATTGCATTTTTTGACAGTTCCTTGAGAGAGGGGATGGACTCCTGCAGGAAACATAGACAGTCGACATTCCCAGTCAGGCTCAGCTTGGCCTCTGAGAGGATAGGCTCTGAGGGTCTGAGGACCGTGGTCTAGGAGTGCTGAATTGGCCTGCGGGCCATTTTTAGTGTGGGAGAGGAGGAAGACTGTGAGCATATACCTAGGGCTAGCTTCTATGTGCCTCCTTTAAAATGGGCACTGATTGAATTCTATTTTAGATTCTGGCCCCAAATTGCATAAACAACAGAAACTTGTGAAAGCTGCTCAGATTTACAATGGATTTGCCCAGGAGATGGCTCAAGTTATCCTAGTCTCTGGAGAAGATCAGCACTGTTTTATAACTGGATTTTTTTAATAAGTGATTTTTTGAAAAGACAAAGCAAGGACTTTTTTTTTTTTTTTTGGTTATTCTTGTTGTTGGGGAAGAAAAGGCTCTGTTTGAAGAACAGGGATATTGTGACATAAACTGACAAAAACCAGGGAGCCTGAGAGTTGAAGCAGGAGTGAAATGTCACATTACCAGGTCCAAACTTGTACTTGCCTCAGAGTATTAGGTGAATGTTAGGAAGATGGTGCCATTTAAGGATATTTTGATTTTAATGTTTAATTATCTTAATTCCACATTATTATTGAGTTGAATGATCTTTACTTGCCAGACATGTCCCTCAGAGAATGTAGATTACACATTGCCTTTGTCTTTGGATATTTGCCCTAGCTAATAATGCTAACTTGTGCAGTTGGGGGATGATGATAAGATTACTATTAAATTGTACTTAGTGGTTATCATAAGGAGCCCTGGTGATGCAATGGTTAAGCGCTTGGCTGTTAACTAAAAGGTTGGTGGTTCAAACTCACCAGCAGCTCCTAGGGAGAAAAGACCTAGCAATGTGCTCTCATGAAGATGACAGCCTAGGAAACCCAATGGGGCAGTTCTGCTCTGTCCTGTAAGGCCATTATGAGTTGGAATCAACTTTATGGCACACACAGCATCAACAGTAGTGATTGTCATGTGTAATACTGGCGTGCAGAAAGAGAGTGGGGATAGAGATCCTTTGCAGCTATGTTCTTGGGCTGAGAAAACCATGGGAGGGAGAAGAGAAGGAGGATGTAAAGATTCAGGTCAGATTGGTGTGATACCCAGAAGAAGGAGGCCTTTGTGATGAACTTGAAACTGCACTCCTTGGAAAGAAAATCCTTCCATATTTTAGTAATGCTTCTCTTCCCCCTGCAAGTGTTATAGGTTTTGCTACTCAAAGCTTGTTAGGAAAATAGACCTACTGAAACAAAACCTACATTTTAACGGTTACCCAAGGTGATTCATCTGTACATTCAAGTTTGAGAAGCACTGTTCTAGGAGAATCTTAATAGTTTGGACACTTCTTTCTAGCATTCTCATTTTTTGAAAAATATGCTTATCTTCCTCTTCCTCCTCCTCTATCTGTCCTACTTTCCCTGAACACCTTGCCTCTAAAATAGTCTTTTTCTAGGTCCCTGGGTGGCACAAACAGCTTGCACTCGACTGCTAACCTAAAGGTTGGTGGTTCAAACCTACCCAGAAGCACTATGGAAGAAAAACCTGGTAATCTGCTTCCTTAAAGATTACAGCCAAGAAAACCCCATGGAGCAGTTCTCTGTCACACATAGGGCTGCCATGAGTTGGAATCAACTTGTTGGCAATGGGTTTGGTTGTTTTCCCCTCTCATTTATATTCCATTCCTTTTTTTTCCTTCTCTTTCTCCATCTTGGTTTTCCTGCTTTTTGTCAGTCTTCTCTACACTTCCCTTCTCCTTTCTTTTAAATTCTTTTTGCCATTGTTCATATGATATTTTCCTTTCTGACCTATATCTAGCTCCAGGCCCATCCACAATAAGTTATTTAGTCATTTATTCATCATGTGTATAGCGTTTATTAATGTAAATACTTGTATATACCTGTCCAGTTGTGCCCATTTTTCCTTTTAAAATTGTATGTGTGTGTGTGTGTGTGTGTATACACACACACAGACACATACATACACATATATATAACCGAAAAACCAAATTCACTGCCGTCAAGTGGGATCCGACTCATAGCGACCCCTCCTTGGGTTTCCAAGGCGGTTATCACTACAGAAGAAGATTTCCCAGTTTACCTTCCAAAGAGTGGCTGGTGGGTTTGAACTGCTAGCCTTCTGGTTAGCAGTCAAATGCCTTAGGCACTATGCCACCAGAGCTCCCAAATACATATGTAGATGTATGTAAATCATATAGACATAGATATACCATCAATATGTATGTCTATATATAGACACACACACACAGACATAAATATCGTATGCACTCACACATAATGACGTATTTCACACTGAATAATATTTTTCACATTTAAAAGGTAGAAAAGTGTGTGTGTTGTTGTTGGGTACTGTCAAGTAGATTCTGACACACAGTGACCCTACATGACAGAATGGAACTACCCCATAGGGTTTCCTAGGCTGTAATCTTTACAGGAGCACACTACCAGGTCTTTCCTCCCACAGAGCTACTGGTAAGTTTGAACCACCAACCCTTCCATTAGTCACTGAATGCTTAACAATTGTACCACCAGGGCTCCTTAGAAAAATCATACCATAAAGAATAATATAGTGAATGTCTGGACCCAGTTCCTAGATGAGAATATGCGGGAGATCAAGGAGCCTTATGAATTGTGATCTTCCAGGTACAGTAATTCATTCTGTCTGTAATACCCACCTTCCATTATGGTTAGCTCTCAAATTACTTTCTTATCTACTTTGATCTGCACAACCTATCTGGGGAGGTGAGGTATTTGTGTCTTTTTCAGATGAAATCACTTATTGATAAGTAAAGTGACTTTCTCAAGGTCAGATAATAGCTGGATCACTGGTCTTGACTCCCATCCAGTGCTCATCCTGTTCAGTTGTTCTCCCTCTGTCAGTGCTTTCTGACCTTCTCCACAGGTTTCTCCTTCTCTTCCAATGCCTGAAAACTATGAACATTCTCATAAGCATTCAACCAGCTGAGCAAGGCACAGCTCAGAAAACACTCAAGCTGGTCAGGGAGAAAGGGCAAGCTTTTCCTGGAGAATGAGGCTTTTTGGGCAGTGAAGTTAATTCATCTTGTTTACAAAACAAGATAGCCACCACATGGATGAACCTTGAAAACATTTTGCAGAATGAAATAAGTCAGTCACAAAAGAAAAAATATTGTATGATCCCACTTATTTGAAAGATCCAGAATAGAGAAGTATATAGAGACTAAAGGCTATTAGTGGTTTCTAAGGATGGGGCAGGAGGGAGGGCAAAAGGGAGAATCATTGCTTAGGAAATACTGAGCATCTATTAAAGTTGATGGACAGATTTGGAAATGGTTAATGGTGATGGTTGAACAACATGATGAACATATTATTGTCACTGAATTGTACATGTGAAGAATGTTGAAATGGCAAATATGACATGTATCGCAAAAAAAAAAAAGGTAGAAAATATGTTCCCCCAAAACTTGTAAAAGTAATCTGGCACCAGGAGCTTACTAGATTTTGTGAAATATATGAGTGAATACAGTCAAGGGTCTGTCATACAAAGACAAAGCTGAGAAGAAATTCCTGTGGGAGTACAAGCATTCAAGAGATAGGCTCTGTTCATATATTGGCTTATTAACTGCATGACCATGAGCAAGTTTCTTCTTGGCTTGCTGATCAAGAGGGCAACAATGCAATAGCAATAATGAGAATAATACCCAATTTATAGAGATAGTGTGAGACCTAAATGAAATACTTTACAGAAAGTGTTTAACATAAGCCTGAGATCAATGTTGGGAGCCCCTGGGTAGTGCAGAAAGTTAACGTGTTTGGCTAACTTAAAGGTGGGAGGTTCAGTCTACCAAGAGGTTCCTCAGCAGAAAGACCTGGTGATCTACTTCCGAAAAGTTAGTCACTGAAAACCTTGTGAGCACTCTGACACGTACAGGTCTCCCCAAGTAGGAATCAGCTCAAAGGCAGCTGGGTTTGGTTTGATAACATGTTTTTTTTTTTTTTTTTTTTTTTTATATGCCACCGAGTCCAACTCATAGCGGTGACCCTTCCTTGGGTTTCCAAGGCAGTATCACTACTGAAGTAGATTGCCCCATCCTCCTTCTGAGGAGTGCCTGGTGGGTTTGAACCGCAAGACTTCTGGTTAGAAGTCTAGTGCCTTAGGTACTAGGTGCGCTACCAGAGCTCCTTGATAACACGTTAGCTGCTATTATTCATTTTGTAATGAATTAACTTCTATTTTCCCTGTCTCCCCTGTCTGTGCTTGTCTCCTTTAGCATGAGCCGCACTGCCTACACTGTGGGAGCCCTGCTTCTCCTCTTGGGCACCCTGCTGCCGGCTGCCGAAGGGAAAAAGAAAGGGTCCCAAGGGGCGATCCCCCCGCCAGACAAGGCGCAGCACAATGACTCAGAGCAGACTCAGTCGCCTGAGCAGCCAGGCTCCAGGAACCGGGGGCGGGGCCAAGGGCGGGGCACTGCCATGCCCGGGGAGGAAGTGCTGGAGTCCAGCCAGGAGGCCCTACATGTGACGGAGCGCAAATACCTGAAGCGAGACTGGTGCAAAACCCAGCCGCTGAAGCAGACCATCCACGAGGAGGGCTGCAACAGCCGCACCATCATCAACCGCTTCTGCTACGGCCAGTGCAACTCCTTCTACATCCCACGGCACATCCGGAAGGAGGAAGGCTCCTTTCAATCCTGCTCCTTCTGCAAGCCCAAGAAATTTACTACCATGATGGTCACACTCAACTGCCCCGAACTACAACCGCCCACTAAGAAGAAGAGGGTCACACGTGTGAAGCAATGTCGTTGTATATCCATCGATTTGGATTAAGCTGGCACACCCAGCCTGACCTAGGGATGCACCCCTGGGTATGCTCATAGCCAGATCTACAACAACCTGAATCTAACTTGGTTTAAATTTAAAGGCATGAAGAACCACCAGCTGCCTCTTGGCAAGAGCCTGCTTGTCTGTAGTTTGTGTGCATGATTGTGTATGGGTACCAGTGAATGTTTAGGGACACCACGGGAAACACCGCCTCTGCTGGAGGGTACTTCCTACTATGTAAATGTATCAGCTTCAACGGGGGATGCAGAGAAGCCCGCATGCCCTGAGCTGCGTGCAAAGGGTTAGGGCTGTGATTTGGTTCTGACTTTGTCTGCCATGTGCCTTCCTGGGGACCAGAATCTCCATTCAGAATGATGAGTGTTAATGAAAAAGCAAACTGTGGGGGTGGCAGACCAGTTTTAGTGCCACAGTAGACCTGGAAAAGTTATTGTTCCCTGTGCTTACTCCCTCCCTTCCCCTCCCTTCCACAGTCTGCCCCTTCTTAGGTTCTCAGTGACTATTTCGGTCTATTTCCATGTCTGCCAAAGTCTCTAAATTAATTGTCTTGAGTGTGGGTATAATTGTTTTCCGTTTTATGAAGATCCTCCAGATCCTGAGAAAAGCTGGTCAAGAAGGATGAGAAGGACAGAGGAATGAGAAAGGAGGGGATTGAGAGTGAGGTCGAGCCCAGCAAAATCCAGTAGGTATATGTGCAGAGGCTTAGCAGGTGGACTCACAAACAGCGAGACCCATGCCTAAGGGAAAGTGTTTCCCTGTTGTGTTTTATTTTCTTAGTTTTCAGTAGAATCCAAGTGAATGAACCCAAGAGAAGTGAGACTACCCCAAATTCACTAACTTTGGCTGACATTGTGATCTGCTAAAATTAGTTGTAACCCCAAAGTAAACTTAAGACATAGTATTGATGACTATTTTCAGAACCATGCAATGGAGCTAAACCCAAACTGCCCCTCCTGTTTTGCTCCTAGGTGGGCTAGACATGTACCTCAGAGCCCGCCACACAGGCAAAAGTCAGAAACCTGTTACTCAGAGTGTCCTAAAATCGTTCCCTTCTCTTGGTACTAATCACCTCTTTCCCACTTTATTATTCTGCATAATACTTCTGATAGTCATTATCTTATATTCTAAATGTTTTGCCTCTTGTGAAGATATCTGATCTAAAGAACCCATCTAAGAGTTCTGGGCCTGCCGCATTATATTTTGGACCTTTTTGTTTTAAGTGGAGAGTGATCCAGAGAGAATAGGACAGTAAGGAAATAGAGGAGTAGAAATAACTATTCCCATGGCTAAGGAAGGAGTTCTGGTGGCGCAGTGCCTAAGGCATTTGACTGCCAACCAGAAGCCTAGTGGTTCAAACCCACCAGCCACTCCTTGGAAGGGAGATTGGGCAATCTACTTCCATAGAGATACCACGTCAGAAACCCAAGGAAGGGTCGCTTTTTTTTTTTTTTGGTGGCTAAGGAGTAAACCAGTTGCATACATATTGTTTCTGACTCATGGCGAGTCTGTATATGTCAGAATAGAACCGTGTTCCACAGGGTTTTCAGAGGCTTATTTTTCTCAGAAATAAATCAACAGAATAAATTCTTCTGAGGCCCTTCCAGGTAGACTAGAACCTCCACTTTTCTGTTAGCAAGTGAGTTTCTTAACTGTTTGCACTACCCAGGGACTCTGGCTGTTAAGGAGCTCTTAATATCTAGGAGGAGATGTAAGGTATGTGGAAACCCTTCTTAAAGTAGATAATTTAGATGGCTTTACTGTCCATCTGCTGTTGGTGGGATCCATGTAACTTTGTAACTTCAGTACGTATTGATAGGCACTCTCCTCTGATTAAACTTGGGCTACTATCAATGCCTACTTAGGGCTTACCAAATGATCAAAGTGAAGGGTGTGCCAGCCTTATGCACTTTGGATTTGGCTAGGCTGTTCTGTTCAAATCTGTCTTGTGTGTAAATCCCCGAAGTACTCTTTTTGCCTGTATCTTCTCACCTCACTATCTGAGTCAGGTGTAATAAACACCACAGACTTCAGGTTCAGCTTGTTATGGCTCTAGCATTCAAAGAACCATTGAAATAGGCTGTTTTTATTTTGTTTTTGTTTGGGTCCAGTGATTTCCCATCTAACAATGAAACAGGAACCATACTTTGAGGCAGAAGTTATCTTGAACACTCAAAATGGGCCTGATTTTGAACCTTTTAAACTCACTACTGATGATTCTACACCAGGCAAATTTATGTGAACACAGTCTGCATTTTGTGTACACTGTATGCCTCTATCACTGCCCTAAGTCTTTATATCATCCACATCCTCCAACAATAAAGCACAGAATGGATTTAATTAAGCACACAAATGCTAAGCCAGAATTTCGAGGGTAGAAGAGAGGAAAAGAAAGGGGAAGGAGCTGAAAATGTAAACCCACACCAGAGAGGAAAAATGACATTCAGCACCAACAAACATTGAATTTCTCTTGTTGTTTTAACTCTGCCACAGCCATGCAATTTTATTGAAAGAGATGAGTTAAGTTGGCAGCAGTAATCTTTTAGTAGCTTGTACCACACAGTCTTGCATGTAAGTCAGATTTGGCTCAAGTAAAGAGAATTTCCTCAAAATTAACTTTACTGAGATAATCAGCACAATTACTATCCTAAAGCATAGCACTAACCAAAGAGAAATGTCTGCTTTTCTTACTGTGCCTATATTAAGACTAGCACAAATATGGTGTGTCTTCCAACATTTATTGAAAATGCCATATCTGTTACTTATTGTATTGGAGTCACCGATGATGTAATGATATATTTTTTCATTATTATAGTAGAATAATTTTTTTTTATGGCAAGATATTTGTGATCTTACTCTTTCCTATTAGAAGAATGCCAAACACTAAATATGAATTTTATGATGTATACTTTGTGCTTGGCATTAAAAGAGAAAAACACATTTTGTAAGTCTGTAAGTTGTTTCTTTGCTAACGGTAGTCTTCAAAGTTGAAAAATGTAAGTGAAAAATCTGGAGGAAAGGATAATTTCCACTGTGTGGAATGTGAATAGTTAAACAAAAAATTATGGTTATTTAATGTAATTATTAATTCAAGTCTTTTGGTCACTGTGATTTCAAGCATTTATTTTTCCTCTTTTATATAACTTCTTCTAAGTTGGACAAAGAAGCTGGCACCTTGAATGTTGTCAGAGGCTTTTAGCCTGGGCTTTCAGGTCAAGGAAACAGCAAATCTTGACACATTTGAACATGTGTTACAGAGTCAAGACTTACATTTTTATTTTTTTAATTGAATGTTCCTTAAAGGTTAACATTTTTGAAGAAATATTAAGAAAAACTTTAAAATGTTATTTTGGAAGACATGATAAGTGTATACAAATAGCAGATAATGTCAAATAGTTCCCAAGTAAAGGTCTTTTAAAGAGAAAATTTTAAATAGAAAGTGTATGTACAGAACATTTATAAATGACCTGTGAAAGTAGTTCTATTGATTAGTCATCTCCCAAAATATTTAATATCAACTGCATTATGTATTATGTATGGATTCAATCATTTAAAAACAACAAAGAATTATATAGACTATGATTGAGGTACCTTGCTATGTATGAGGTTTAGAAGGGTTTTGATAGTTTCATAAAAGCCAATTTGGATTCAAGTTTTATGCATCTGTAATTAGAATTTAATTTTCACTTCAGTGATGTTCTGAATAATCTTTCCCAAAGAGCAACCAATAAATCAAACTCTTCTCTTTGTTTCCATTTTCCTTTTTTTCTTTAAAAAAAAAAAAAAAATGGTAGTTCAGGATAAGGGTGGAGCAGGGATTCTTTTGTACGGGAAAACCAAAACCAACCCTGTTGCCATCGAGTTCATGCCAACTCATGGTGAGCCCATATGTTGGAGAGTAGAATTGTGCTCCATTGATTTTCCATGGCTGTGACCTTTGGGAAGCAGATTGCCAGGCCTTTATTCTACACTGCCTCTGGGTGAGTTCATACCACCAACTTTCAGTTAGTAGGTGAATGCTTTGCCTTTTGTACTACCCAGGGACTCCTTTGTCATGGGAAAGGAGAAAGAAAACAGATTTAGGTTTGTTATGGGATCTATGTATTTTATAAAGTGAATTTATTCCTTCCACCTAGACCTTTCAGATCTTACCTGATTTCAGTAGGACACCTCAGGCTGTAGCAGTTAGAGGCAGTGAAAAGTTAGTCTGCAATTGAAATTACCATTCTTTTCCTCAGAGCACAGCTAGAAAGAAGAGAGAGAATGTTAGGACAGAGGCTTTCACATAGTAAGAAGGTCATACAGAAATAACAATAGCCTTATTTTGGGTTATTTCAGAGGAAAAAATGGGGGAAAGATTGTGAGCTCACAATATTTGTGAGGAAGAGCTTTTTAATTATGACAGTGATTCACCAATGAATTAGCTGCCTTTGGGATGGTGAGCAAGAGAAAAATGAGGCAGTCTGCCTCTATAAAGATTTACAGCCTTGGAAACCCTGTGGGGCAGTTCTACACTGTTCTAAAGTGTTATTGTGAATTGGCATTGACTTAATTCCAGTGGGTTTGGGGATGGTGAACTCCATGCTCTCAAAATATTTAAACATATAATTTGCAGAGAGGTGAGGTAGAGTGATTATTGCCCTGGGTATATATTACAAGTAGTGCATTTCTGAGATCCTTTCCTACTAGGCCATACAGTACAGGATTGCTATTATGTAGTATTGTTCTGACAATGATAATAAAAATGCTAGCAACTATGTGTGGAATGCTTATGCCAGATGCTGTGCTAAGGATTTTATTTAAATTGTTTCTCAATCCTCAGGGTAGCTCTATGAGATGTGTACCATTTTTGCCACTTCTAGGAAGCAGTGAACTCAGATGGTTTTTTCTGCAGAGCCTGTGCCCTTCAACAGTGCCAGATTATAGAATTTTTAATTTGTTATCAAAGGCAAAAAAAAAAAAAAAAAAAACCCTCACAGCTGTTGAGTCAGATCTGACTGATAGGGACCCCTCCTTGGAT